ACTTTTAAATGTGAGCTTTTTCCAGCTGAATAAATACCTCCTCCTTTCTTTTCAGTTCCTCAATGTTGTAAGAGTTATGTGAAAGATGTAGCAGTATTCATACTCACAAGCTTTGGCTATATCATCTGCTGTAAAGAACAGAAACAAGTTGCATAAGTCCATGACCCTCAAAACCAGTGTAATTGGTTTCGCCAGTCCCAGCTTGAAAGAGTTAAAATATTTTAGCCACTTTTGTGAAGACAAGTTATTTGTTTGCTTTTTCAAACAGATGGTATAATCCAGTCCAAACAGCTTTAGCCCATTTAATTTGGACCAGCAGGATGCTGGGCAAGTTCTGCGTGCTTGCAGAACCTCTCCTTCAAACATCGCAATACAAACATAACTCCAGCCAAAGCACAAGCTGAACATCACCCAGGGCTAACCAGGAAGCCCCGGATCAGGCAGAGACTTTTTCCCAGATCCTCTGGGGTTTCCCTGCCAGAGGGAGGCTGAACAGACAAGCTCTTGTGGAGCCCCGCAGCACAACCTGCTGGCATTTCTCAGCCAAGGCAGGGCTGCTCTAAACACATCAGCCAGCCCAGCAGCTGCACAGAAAGACAAGATCCAAGGACGTGAAACTGCAAGGACATCGACCCCAAACGCTGTAGAGCAAAGACCAGCTTTCCCCACTATAACCAGCGATCAAACAAGCCCAAAAAGTCTAAGCAATGCCTAACCCTGAACTACCTAGTCCTTCCAGCAGACAGGAATCAATACAGCTCTAGGCTTTGCTGTTCTTCAGCCTGCTTTCTTCTAGAGAAACACCATCTTACGAGCCCATACTTCGTGCAAGATGAAAGCATTTGCCTTTGAACCCACGGGCCAACTTCAGCCAAGCACAACAAAGGAAATGAAGTTTCATGAGACTCAGAGGCCACGGAAAGGAGGCAGCTGGAGTTGCCCTGGTCAGGGAGATGTCGCAATCTGAACTTGCTGTCACAGCTTAACCCCAGCTGGCAACTGAGTACCAAGCAGCCCCTGGCTTGCGACAACTAAAATATCAGAGTATTGTCAATGTTTTTGTCATATTAAATCCAAAACATGGCACTGTACCAGTTAGTTAAAGGAAAATTAACTCTCACCCAGCTGAACTAAGGACACTTGCCTTTACTGCATACCAGAGAACCCACAGTGGAAAAAGCCCTCAGAAACGCTTCAGCAGAGAAGGGCTCAGGTTTCCTTTTTTGATGCCAAAAATAAGCAGCCACCAGACAAATCCAGAGAAACCAGCACCATGATACCTCAATTTCCAGACCTTCCTGAGCATTTTCCAACTACATGCAATAGCTGCTTTAAAGGTCCTGCTAAAGAGCTCTGCATATGCTCTTTAATTCTCTGGACACTGCATGGCATATTGCAAACTCATATTTGCATTGCAAAGTTCTTCTTTCCTACTATTCCTTTAAATGTTTTAATACTCCATTTTTTCCTTTCTTCTCTTCTGTCTAGAGCAACATCCTTCTAGCACAGTTACTTTAACAAAAGGGAGGTGGCATTTAGAATTAATCTAATCTAAATTTAATTCCAGGATGTTCCTGTTTTAGGCCATACAACAGGTTGAATCCCAATATGCATCAGATCAGCAGAATGTTGTTCTTGGCACATCCTTGGCAGATGTGTTCTAGATAACCTGGTAGGACCCTATCTATTGTTATATTGTGAATTCTCCAAGCAAACTTCCAAAGATGTTGCATTTTCTCCCTCAAGATACAATTAACTACTTCAACAGTACACCATGAAATGCAGTAGATGGGCCACCATGTGGGGCATCAAAAGCAAAGGGAAGCCATTCCAGGAGGATGATTTTAGCCCAGAAAGAAACAACAGCATGGAGGTAGAAACAACCAAGTGGATGTTTGCTGCTGGTGCCCTCCAGCTCAGAGCCAGAAGGGAAGAAATCCTAATAGCTTTAGATTTGCAGATCAAGTCACCACTACAGAAGAGCCCTTTAGAAAACTGCACATGCAACCCACCTTCCACTGCCCACTGCTCTCCTTCTTCAAGGCTTACAAGTAGCTAGACACAACACATCGAAGTTGACAAATCTTTACAACTGGGTCTCAATGTACAAGCCAGAAAACACATCTAGCTTTTCAGAGCCAAGGCTCCAGCCCAGATTTTCACGATTTGGGTTTTTTTTTGTTTGTTTGTTTTTAAATGCCTAAACTGAGCTATTATGAGACCATTGGGCTGCAAAGAAAAACCTACTTCAGCTGGCACTGCAATTTGAGCACCATTAAGATAAGACAAGCAGTAATAGTTTTAAATTAAAATGGTAGATCCGCACTAGATATAAAGAAGAAATTTTTCATTATGAGGGTAGTAAAACACTTCAACAAGTTGCTCAGAGAGGTGGTGGTTGCTCTATCCCTGGAAACCTTCATGGTCAGGTTAGACAGGGCTCTGAGAAACCTAGTCTAGTAGAAAATGTCCCTGCCACAGCAGGGGGGTTAAAACTAGGTAAGTTTTAAAGGTTCCTTCTAATGCAAATCATTCTGTGACTCCATGGCAAACAAAGATCTCCACCTTGTATGCAGAAATGCACTGAGGTAAGACTCATTCTGGTGCTCATCCTTACAGTAAAAGGCTCAGTTTCTGTTGAGAAAGTAATTCAGACCTGGAAGTGCAGTAACTCAAGTAAGAACAGAAAAGACAGGCTGTGCCAGTATCTGATTAGGAGACCTGGATGTAAACATACCACAGCTGTGGGAACTGCATCAAGATTCTGATGAGTACTAACCTTCCTGTAAGGACCTGCTAAAATGCCACAAAGATTTTTATAGTGGTGGTTTCATTTAGCCATGATGTACTTGTAAGATTCTCACTATGTCCATGAGAAACTCCCCAAGACTCTTGTAAACAGAGCTGTAACTCAATTCCAACTCCGTAATTATATCATTCCCATGTAAATTATCCCTGAAGGGTTTTATTTGTTTTTAATACTCCAATCTTCCAAGTTTTAGAAAAAACTCAAGGGTTTCTTTCAAGTAATGTCACTTTCCTCTCCCTTCCCTTCCTAGTCTCTCAAAGAAATCAGTACTAGATTCTAATATCTCTTCAAAGAGGAAAGTAAATACCAATGCAACTTCACAAATTTCCAGTCCACAAAATCTGGTGTTCAGCTTCAGCTCTGTGAATAGATCCAGAGAGACCAAAAGACAAAAGGCCACAGTGGATGCAAAGTTCATCAGAAATTTCCCTATTTGCAGGATAAGCAATCACAAGTCTGATGATCAAAGTTTGTATTTGTGGAAATGGCTCAGGCAACTTAGAAAAAAACCCCAAAAATACTGCAGAGAACCGGCAGAAAAGCGGCAACACTTTGTAAGAAGTGATCCTTTATGTAGGAAGGCACTTCCTAAAGGCAGGAATTCACTACACAGACAGAGAAGGAAGAGCACTACTGCCTGGATTTGTCCTATCAAAACGCATTTATCCAAGGTGCCTAAACGAGGAAAAGAAGTGAGCTGAGTCTGAGGTAAAGCTCATCTTCCTACTTGGGAGATGGCAGGGAGCCAGCAGACAGCTCTTATCTCAGCATCTGGAGCAGAGCTCAAGACCACATGCTTAGGTCTGTGGTTAGTGACTCACCTGCAATTAAGGCGAAACCTGAACTCACTATGCAAAGATAAACCTCTGGACTTGGTGGATGTAGAGCAGCATCTGCCAGACATACTAACAGCTCAACACAATCCCAAGCACCTCAACAGGCTGCAACTCCCCAGCTGTGCTGGGGGATGTTCCCAGCACCTTGTTTGCACAGATGCTCTACACGGGTGGCTCCTGGAAGACTGAGAAATCTGAATTCAGTTCCCTTCTGCTCAGGGCAAACCAATTAATAGTAATCTTAAAATACAATAAAACTGAGACCCTCAAAAATTCTGCCCCTCCCCCCCCCCCCACCTGAGGAAACATGGAATAAATTTATTTTGATAGCTTATGCTTCAAACTTCCCAAGGAGGAAGACTCCCCAAACCACACCACCCCTTTACCCTGAGAGATGCTCTAACCTGTTGCCTACTGGCATGCAGACAAGGTGCCTGCAAAAGTACTGCTAAATGCCACCTGATGATGAAAACCAAGGGATCTTGCTTCCAAAGCAGTCTCTTTCCCCAACACGCTCTACTTGCTGAAGTTTTGCCATCAAAATTTGTTTTGGGTAAGATTCAGGAAAATCTCTCCAGTCTATTTTGTTCAAACAACCCCTTGGCTGTGTTGCTGCTTGTGCTCTCTGCAGCTGTTTTCACAGCACTCTCAACTGACAATGAAGTCAGCTACAAAGCAGCCTCTTCCAGGGTAAAGGCTCCCCCCTAATTCTAAACAGCCCAAAAACTTGAAAAAATAATCTAACTAGAACTTAGCAGCTCAAATTCTGAGGTTTGTTACTATCAACTCTCACTCAAGATTACGTGCAAGCTGGATTAAAGAAGAGTCAACTAATTCAAAGTGAGAGACAAACTACCAATTTGATTACAAAATACCCAACACACCTCAGTCCAGCACTTTGCTATTGGTATTTACATGTCATCCAAATAAGATGCACTAATCACTGAAGAATACTTGCTTAAAAATCAAGTGTTTTCTACTCATTCTCTCAGCTACAGATCTTAGGAGCCAAGTTGCAACTGCACGTGCAATTAAGTTTCCAAAATACTAACAACACTGTGCTGGTCCTAAAAGAAAAACCAAAACAGAGGCCAATGCTCCAAGTATGAAAGATAATAAGCAGTACGTGGGTCTGCACACCTGGGAGACTGACAGCATAATAGCTTTAAATTATAGAAGCAGTACTGGGGAAGATGATCAGTATCTTCTGTGACATGTCCATGCTTTCAGCAAGGTCTTCAAAGCCCCCACACCTGGAATACTGAAGTGGAGCTAATTTACATGAGCCCCAAAAGCCCATTTGCTTGCTTCTGGACTGGCAGGGACAGCAATGAAACGAGAAACACAAGAAGATCTGCCCTTCCAGGGTTCCGTTTATTAACTGAATATAAAAATAAGATCATTTAAGTGCAGAGGCACAGTAATCCACTCCGTGGTGAAAAGATACCTTGGGTTAGCAGTAAACAGAGTTTACAATACCTTGTAAACAGACCTCTTCATAAGCAAGAAGCACACTGAAATATGATGCACACTGGATTAAAAGTCCCCTGTTGCAACAGTACTCCACACTTTTCATCTGGCTATTTGGGAGCACTTCATAAAAGGTGACAGCATCCTTTGCTCTGTTTTCAGAGGAGCACACGTGAAACAAATGAAACACAACCTGCACTGTAAACAGCTGAAAAGCACTACAGCATTTTCAGAGGATGGCAACTCACATCTCGTTAGATTTGTTTTGCAATGAATTATAATGGCCAAAGCTACTGTGCATTATGAAAATGTTAAAAATTATTCCTTTTTTTATGGTTTTACAGTAACCAGTTGCACAGTTGAATAAAAAATTATTATTTTTTCTTAATACAGTACATGGCATTTCTCCTCAATTGCACTAGAAATTTGGAAGCACTTTCAGTTTGTGTTATAGGCAGACAGAAAGGAAAAACAAGTCATGCAGACTTTTAATCTCCTTTCCATCTCTTGCCTACTATTTATCCCCACCTCTTCACATCTCTGAGTCCGCATACATTCCATTGATCAGGTAATCCACTTGTGTGTAATCTTTCTTCTTGTAGCTCTCATAGGCCTGCATGAGGAAAAGAACTAAAACAGTTAAGAAAAAGAACGTACCAACTAAAAGCACTGCAAGTAGTGAACTTTTATCCACTAAGTACTGAGTCAGGGGCTCGGCAGCAATGAGAAGATACTCGTTGTCTGTGTCCTGAGTTTCTGTGAGGCCTGAAGCTGTTGTTTTGGCTGCATCTGTTGGAGCCATGGCTGTTGAAAAGACATCAGATGTTGACTTTACCGCATGTTCAGTCGTAGTTGCTACTGCAGAGGTTGTAGTTAAAACCGTGGCACCTGTTATAGAGCCCAGAGGAGAAGCTGATCCATTCAAGGATGCTGTGGCTGTATTTGCCTCTGCCTTTAGACCTGGTGACGTGCCAGCATGCACTGGATTCACAGAGTGAGAACTCTCTGTTGGGATGGGTGCTGTGGCATGCGTGGAAGCGCTGGAAGATGTTCCTGCATCCCGTGGGATGGGGGTGGTCAGTGCTGTGGTCAGTGCTGTGGTCAGCATCTTCAGGTCAGCTCCAGCAGTGGGGAGGCTGTCAGGGTGAGGAGCACTGCTGCTGGTGGTACCCGACCCAGGCTGCTGTGCTTGAGTACCTGCTTCAGAAGGAACAGTGCGGGGAGCAGAAGTGGGGGACAATACTGGAACAGAGCTACTACTACCTAATTTTTGGCTGGTCGTCACCATCTGGGTGACACTGCTGGAAATGGGAGCAGAGACGTTATCATGAGGGGGAGAAAAGGCAGAGGATGATATGGCTGTAGTAGAGATATCAGAACCTCCAGGGGTGTTTGAAGCTTTGGCAGTTGCTTCGTAAGTGGTAGAGAAAGTTGCATTTGTAATGCTTATTGTCACGGCAGGGGCAGTGGTGGAAGCATTGCTTGTAACATTGCTTGCACTTGTGACGTCTCTCTTCTCAACCCCAGGCAAATGCCTCAAACTAATATTGTGAGTCTGAGCAATTAAAGAAAACGTGTTTTCCACACTGTGTTGGTCAATCCGTGCATTCAGCATCCTCTCCCTCTTCTGGTGATGGCTCTGGTGGTGAAACAGGCCTGGTTCCCGTTTGCTGCTGACAATTTCTTCCAAAAGACAAAACAAATTACTTTTGTAAGAATAAAAAACTCTCAAGCTCAAACCTAACCTCAACCCCCAACATGCAAACCAGAACACATATTCTGCAGTACACACAGTACAAGTGGAATAAATCAGTCCTGAATTCAGTAAGAACATGAAAACTCAAGACCCCCCCAGCCTTTATTGCACATAATCCCTTTGAGGGTTTTGGTTTGTTTTTTTCTGCCACAGACCTCTCATATTTGCCCAGCCAGGGAGTTAATTTCACAAAAGGGGAGTAATGAAGTAGAGAGCTACAATGCAGAAGTATCAACAGCAGCAGCCTTACAGATGTCAGTTCCTGAGAAGAGGATTCACGCTTTCAAAGTTACACATCGACAAAGCTTTTGTGCCTAGATTCGTGATTTTCACTTCTCAAAACTGAACAGAAATTTCTACTTACACCTTCATACATCAGGATAATTTCCTTCACAACTAAATAAGCTAGATTTATAGTGACATAAATCCCATCTGCTTATCACAAATCCAGTTGTTACATTGAAGAGAAACCTTTGCCAAGCAAAAAGAACCACAAACAAACTTGGGTACAGTGAACTCTTGAAACAAACTTTAGAAGGTTGACTTCCCAATTATAAATAAGCTCCATTTTGTTATTGTGTCACTTTATTAAAACTGAATACCCTGGCACTGGAAAGTCACCATGAGCAATTGCTGCTCTGATTAAAGAAGCAGTCTGTTGACTCTGGAACAAAATCCTGGCAATCTGAGAGAAAAACAATGCCAGGACATTTTCCTTTCTCTGAAAAAAAGATATAAATACATCTGTTATGCCTTTATTTTCACGAGGACAGCATGTGGCGTGCAAATGGCTTGAATGAATGATGTCTTCAACATGGAGACAAACTGTTACTCAGTAAGCGTTACAAAAGCTATTCAAAGACACATCCTGCACTCATGCAAGTGCCAGAGTCCCTAGGACAAAGTGAAACAGTTACTCCAGTGAACTGTACCTACAGAATCACCCTGCAGGCATTTCATAACCCATCTTGCACAGCTGAAAGCCTGTCAAGGGTTAAATGTAGGCATTTAAAGCGAAAGAATCAGGATCCTAGATTTTTCCCAGAAGGCTGAAACACAGCTTTACCTGCAAGCAGGTCTTTGATGTCTTCTTCTCCAGCATTCTGGCACACACTCAGCTGGTGACACTGCAGGAGGAGGCAGTGATTCTGGTAGGGCACAGACCAATTACAGTGATGGCTCCCTGAAAACAGCAGAGAAAATGGATTGCTGCACACAGGATACCAAAGACATTGCTTTGGCACTCTAATTAAACAATTGAAAAAAAAAAGGACAAAAAAGTCCACTAAACCAAAAAAAAGCCCCAAACCACACAATATCTAGAAGGTCTGGCCTTAAAGGATCCTGACTCAGCCTTAGTGAAAAAACACAAAGAAAGACAATGAAACCAACACTGCCAATGTAGCCTACCCACCTGTTTGTCTTCTGGTACCAGCATCTCCTGACAACAGCAATTCACTCACCCAGACAGAGACAAACAAAGGGCACTACAGTTAGGACCCATGTAAATTCATCTAGATGTCTTAATGAGGAAAATGACCATTAGCGGCCGTCAAAACCAGCATCTTTATTAGGTTCCTATCTATCTCAGTGTCAGATATTCATCCACCTAAGCCCAGGCCTCATCTTCACCACAGCAGCACCAGCTTTTTGTAGGAGCTACAAGCTTTCTCATCTGGCTAGACAGGATTAGGACCTTCATAAAGACAAATAGAAGACTCTTCTAGAAGTTTAATTCTTTGTGAAGATATCTCAGAGGTAGTGAGAAGGCTTTTACCTCAACAGATTTAACCCTGTGCTAGGCTGCAGGACAAAGTGGTTTCTTCTAAGGCAGAAAACACACACAAGTACCAGGGAGCAAAGATTACTCATTCTAGTGCAGCTGTCTACATCAGCACTGCTCACTTGCAAACATCTGGCAGCAGGGAATAATTTCTTCAAGTGACCCAACACTTTGCACGCCATCAGTGCACACCAACAGCACATGCTGTTTCCTATGGAAGCTCCAAGGGTCCTGGGAAGCAGTTGTCCTGGATTCAATTTAACCAAAGCTGTCAGAAGTTATTCAGCACCACACATAGCAGCTGTAACTGTAAATGCCTGTAAACAACTGGAATTAAAAAAGAAAGTCAAAGGAGCAGCAGAGACCTTCAAGGAGCAGAAAATGCACCTGGAATTCCATCCAAGGGACAAGAACCTCACCTGAAGCACCTGGGCTCTGACAGGCCTGCCTGCATTGCTCTTCACTTGTAAGCCTGTTTATTTGCACTACATGGACTCCTCTCCCTTTCAGGACAGAAAACCGGTGTTCACATATACAGATGGAAATCAGCAGGAAGAACACAACAGCAGTCCACATCTTCAGGGTTGGCCTTACAGGGAAGCTTCTCTTCCCCAAAGAAATTCTCTCTTATATCAACTTCAGATCCACTGCAATTTACCTATCAAAAAAAAAGAACCATTTATACCCCTATGAGCAGGAACGGAAAATAAAAACATACAAAATGCAGGCAAGTATCATTAGGCATCACAAACAAGCAAGGGCTCAGAGGCAGGAGGAGTATAGACCTTTCCCAGCTTCCCAGAGAGGCTCTTTCTTTGGAAAAGGTACTTTGCTCTCCTTCCTTCATGTCCCAGTGGAGAGCAGCTTAAGTCAAAAGTCATGTGTACAAAGTCAATCTCAAAGCCCAGAACCATGTGGAAGCACAGATATGATGTCTTTGGACTCATTCTGGGACCCTTAATGTTGTGCCCAGGCTCAGCAGAAGGGTTTTCACCAGTTTGAGCACACTGATAATAAGGGAACTACAGTCCTGGTCCTGCCTTTACACCAAGTCAGTCAAAACCAAGTAACCAAGGTTGACTTCTGCTTTGGCCTTCCTACTCATTACAAAAAGCTCAAAGAAATTTTTATTGAAAACCACTGAAAACCACTACTTCCAGTCTTCCAAGACATCACACAGACACAGCTGTTACTGAAGAATATTCACAACCACAGTAAGCCTTCATTTCCCCACATAAAACAACAGATAATGTATTTCCTTCATTATTAATGCACACATGTGACTTTGACGCAGTGGAAGGGCTTTTGTCACTGAAGACACTGAAACAGCTCCCACTGACATCAGAGCAGATTAGCAGCTCCTATATGGATTTAGCCTCTTGGTTCTGAGGTTTTTGGAGCTTTGTATGAACTTCCAAACACTTCAGTCTGAGCTAGACCTATTGTAAGCCTCTTCCCTAAGTAATTTTCAAGGGCAATCCTCTTCCTTCTCACTTAAGCAAGCTTTAGTCGCCATCCTGAAGTTGTGAAGAGAAACGTGACAGCCTTCAGAGAGTGCTGAGATTCAGCTTTGTGTGACATCTCTGAGATGGATGCGATGACTGCAAAGGCAGTTCACAACACAGGATGAGCAGCATGTGTGAATGGTATAAATACCACAGTGAAGAACACCCAACAGCCCTCAGTAATGTGCGTAAGACCCTAATTTAGCCATCCAGGCTAGAAGCCTCAGTTTCAACTGTGAGAACTCCATTTTCAACCATGCTTGTGAATTTAAGAATCTAAGAGCTATTTCTCCTCCAAAAAAGCCCCAAATAACGTTTGTTAGCTGTGACTCAGATTGCAATATTTTGATGCTTTGTACCATTAAACTTTTGCTTCCAATTTTTCTTCTGCTATATCCTAAAGCCCCAAACAGGGCAACAGAGTTTTGGCTTCAAAACCACCTTATCTAAAAAGGGATTAAATATAAACAGCTACCTCAAGCTCTTCAGAGGACACACAATATACAGGTCCACATTGGACTGTCAAAGAGTCAAAGATGGGGACAAAATTTGATACTAAAATGCAGTGCCTCAAATTCACTTTTCCTAGTCAACTTTCAAGTTCCCCAAGGAACTCAACAGTCTCCTTCCTGCCTATTTATTCTAGTAAAAAGAGTTATTTTACCTGTTGAAAACAGATGGAGCATTTTTAGATCTTCTGCTCTCCCAGAGAGATGGGAAGCCCAAAATGACTGTAGGGCCCTTGCACCCCTCTGCAGCTTTCTCCCTGGAGCAAGTGTGCACAGCATCAGGCTCAGTTTGCGTGAGCAGGTTTCTCAGTGCAGCCAGAAGTTCAAGCCTGAGTCATCTCACCTGGCAGCTGGAAATAGTTCTAAATCTGACCTGAGAACAGAAGTCCTGGCAGGGAAAGGCAGCTCAGCAGCCCCACCTAGTCCTATGTACCAGTGACTATGCGCGGTGCCCAGCTCCACCGGGGCCTCTCTCCCATTACACACTGGGCAAGCACAGCACAGACTGACTTTGCTCTTCCCTTATCACTTCTTCTTCCAAGTGCACCTTGGCGAAGTTGAAAGGATCAGGACAGGAGAGGAGATGACCTGTGCAATACCAGCACAGCCTTTGCAACATGCTACACCAGCATCGGCCTCTCAGGAAAGCAGCCCCACATTCTCCTCAGGGAATTGGCAATATTAATTTGGGTTGTTCAGCCAAGCCAATTTCCAATAATTCTCCCACTGCCCCAAACTGCAGGGCACTTCTACAAGTTTGTCTCAGCCTTTATCACACTCTTACTGTCACTCCTTGCATATGTTGTAGATTAACCATTGAAAGCTGCAGTTGATAAGACTGGGAGCAAGGTGGAAAAAATATTCTGCCCACAAGAGATTCTGCTAGAGCAGTCAGCAAGGACTTCCTTTAAACCCCAAATCCTTCAACTTAAAGCAAGTGAATTGGGTTCCCTCAAAGACACTACAGGTACTCCACCTCAGAGCACTGTCTGGCAACCTGCACTCCCACCACACAGTGCCAAAATAAGTGCACTTTTTGACAAGTCCACAGGTCATAGGAAGGGATTCAGAAAGCAATACTTAACTCACAAACATAAAAGAAAAAAACCCCATCATTAATGTATTTCACATTTTAAAGAATGCAGCTTATATCGCTTTTCAAGGTCCAGGGTTTATAACAAGCATCATTTTACAACTTAAGAAGTAACCCGGAGAATGAGTACCCATGTAATAATGTATGCATACACTGTTTCAAATAAACTAGTAAGGATTAATAGCAATGAATACAAACACTAAACATTTATTGTAGGAGGTTTTTCATACCTTAAGTAATAATTTTTAAATTCTAATAACCACCTTCTAAGAATAAACATCTTGCATTATATTTTGAAACTGCAGCTATAACAGGTAAAAGATAAAGATATAAAAGATACTATCATTATTTTCATTAAAATCTCAGTTCTAGGACAAATAAAATATTAATCTCAACCAACTCAAGAACTACATATATTTGCAAGATCAAATGATCACACCAGTAGCTAGAAGCTGTTGCATTAAAATGCATCCCCTATGCAAAGAGATGTTTTGTATCCCCAGCCACATCAATTCACTAGAAGTCCTTCCCATCACAGCTGACTTTGGTTCCACTTAACTGCAACAACTGCAGAGCAAAACAAACCCCAGAAAAGGACTCTCACCCCTTCCAAAGTACCTGGCAGCCTTTCTGGATTAGGTCAGCATTGGTTTAGGGGGACATGCCAAGCTCATGAACAAGAGATTTGTCCCCACTTTGCCTCTCACTAAACATGGTCTCCTCAGGGACCAAGTGGCAATACTTCCCCTAAGGCACTCAATACAAGATTACAAGTTTAAAATACTTTTCAACATCCTTTAGCCAATTGTAAAAATCCCTCTGCAGACTGCAGAGCAAGTGTGTGAAGCAGACAAACACAATGCAGAGACTGTGAGTGTATCAGACAAGGAAACAGCTCCTTTCCAAGACCAATGAGAGGATAACCAGTTGCAGCCATACCTTAATGCACTACAGATGAGGCTTGGGATGCTGTATTAAATATCTAGAGGTATGGGTTTTTTTGGCCTCTTCCACCTTAGCCAATTCCATTCATCCAGAACAGGAGTTACAACTAGTTGGAGATCACCTTTCCCAGATTAACAACTACCCTCTGCTATCACAAGCAATAAGCTGTACTTCTGACTCCCTGTCACACTTCCAGCCACTGCCATCTGCACTCAGAGACCCTCCGAGCACCCACCCCCTGCACCTACATCCCAAAACAACACTCGCTAAACCTTCTTGTCCAAACCATGTTGAGCTGTCTGGACAGCACAGTGCAAGGGACAAATGCTACTGATCCCCTCAGAAGGAATTTTGAGAAATTGGGGCAAAATTCATTTCTCAAGCACTACCTTCACTGCCTACAGAACATCCCCAAGGAAATTCAAAGCCAAACCAAAGCAAAACCAAACCACAAAAGACATCAACAAATAAAATCTGGGAAAAGACTACACTGAAAAATGCAAAGTTCACTTTTGTTATCTGTGGCTGTAACTCAGCAGGGAATAAGCACACTGGCAAACCAGAATAACTTCGAGTCAACAACTGAATGACTGATGACTTTGCAATACACACACATACCCAGAGGGCACTGCCTGCTGGGTTTCAGAAGAGTGCCTCACTTCTTGCTGATCTCACAGTGCTTAAGCCAAGGAATTTATACAAATAAAAAAAAAATCATTATTTCAAAGAACAATGATTGGGATGATGTTGCAAAAGCAGACAGAAGCCCTTGGAATATAAATCCCTTGCCTCCATGTCCCACCCCCAGCAGCCTCAGCTGTTCCTGGTTAAGCAGCTGCAAGGTGCATGCAGTGACTGCACCAGGGTGAAGAGAGATACAGAACTAGACAAAAAAGAGGGAATGTGGGTGTTAGAGATCACAGGTACAAAGTGTGCAAAGCAAATAATTTAGGGCAACACATGCTCCTTTGAGCTATCACTGAAGAGCCAGTGCTGCTCAAAATTCATACTCACAAGTGTGCATAGACCAGGTATGAAATAAAGTTGGAGTTGCAAAGAAATATTCTATCTTCAGTATAACAACAAAGCAAGGAAAACAGAGGTGGAATATCTTTTGCAGACAACAATGTTACTCTCCCACCAAACTGAGAAGGCATAAGGCCTGTTTCCCACTTGCATTTGCTGCTAATCACTTGACATGTCAGCTGTCTGAAAAAGTGCAACATTTCTCTCTTTAGAAAAACAGAATTAAACCAGATTTTGCTAAGGCAAGACAAGCACATCTCATTTTGTAAATCAAGGCAAGAATACAGGAGACAGGGAATTCTGCACTGCAATCCTAAGATGCATTTTACTTCCCAAGCTTCTCTCCAAGACTGAAGATACACGTGTAGATACGATTGGTGTCAGAAGGGGCAACACCAAGGCACACGAGGCTGACCCAATGTCAGCTGAGTATGACCAGGTGAAGTTATATGATGCTCTGAACAGCAGCTTTAGAGCCACCATGTTCCTTTGGCTGCCCACCAAAGTTATTGACAAGCTGCAAAGCTGCTCCTGCCAGCTTTACCCATCTCCATCTCTCTGTTCCTTGACTGCCCGCTTG